CTGGGGGTCCCAAGCTGCAGGGTGGGGGCCGGGGGCCAGAACGGAAGGGAAAGGGAGGGCCCAGCGGTGGTCTCGGCTCCCGGGCCCGGACCTGTCCCTCCAGACCGTGAGCTGGACCCGAGCCAGGCCTGCTGCGTGCTGGAGCAGATGTGGGGCAGGACAGGCAGAGGGCAGACTCGGCCACAGACAGAGACGGACAGACCGAGGGCAGGGCGGGCTGACGGACACGCTGGGTGGACAGACAGTGCACGGAGCCACTGAATGGCACCCGCGTGTGCGTGCGTGTGCAGGGGGAGCTGGGTCTCCACAGAGACCCTCTGCTTCCATGCAGGCTCTGGGTGATGGAGAGCTGCCCGGGGTCTGGCCTCACCCTGCACCCCGTTCCCTGTCTGACCCTGGCAGGGTTCTCGGGGCCTCCCAGGAAGCGATGCTGCCGACGGGGGACCCTGCTCCTGGTCCTGGGACTGGTGACCGCTGCGATGTGGGCCGGGCTGCTCAGTCTGCTTCTCGTGTGGCGTGAGGACACCCCCAGCCCTTGGGACCCCCTCCCCAACATGCAGGGGCCTCTATGTCCCTCCCAGAACCCCATTGCAGAGGCTAGGCATCCCAGCACACCCCACGGAGTTCAATTTCATCTCAGCTTCCACCTAGTCCCTGCCAGCCTCTTCCCGTGCCCCCCGGGAGCCCCCACTGTCTCCCACCCTTTCGGCACCTCCCATGGGTTATACCCCAACCCTTCATCCCCAGCTGGGCAGGCAGGGACCCTGGCAACCCCCCTCTTCCTTCCTCTTCTCGCTCCCTCACCCCGCAGACTGGGACACCCTGGAGAATCTGAAACAGCTGGAAAAGGCTGCTGCCCGGAACGGTACGGGGCGGCCACGGGGCGGCCCCAGGCAGCAGCTCCCAGCCGGTCTCTGCTCCTGACTGCTGTGGGGCCTGGACAGTCCCTCTCTGGGCCTCAGTGTCCTTCCCACCAGGGGTGGGAGGAAGCCGGTGGGGCCTGGAGAAGTGACAGCTAGCACTTGAATATCTAGACAGCCAGCACCACGGAGCCCCCGGGCCGGGTTCCCTCACCTTAGTGCCGGGGCAGCCTGTGCCGACCTGGGTCACACTGACACACGCCCACTGCTCCCCTGTACGAACAGCAGCAGCACGGGGACCGTGTCGGGGGAGTCCCCTGGGCTGGGGCTGGGGCAGGTTTTGAGGATCTGCTTTCGTGGCTCCTGGGGACACCTCGTCTCTCTTGCCGCCCCAGTTTCTCAAGTGGCCAAGGACTTGCAAAGGCACCAGAGTGACCAGATGGCTCAGAAATCCCAGGGTAAGCCGCGTCTGGTTGGGGGTGGAGGAGGGGAAGGGAGGAAGGGTTTAGACGTCACTGGACACAGTGTAAAGGCCAGTCATGTGCAGCCGGCAGGAGGCGCTGGACTCCCACATGGCCCACAGTGGTTCGAGTCCCAGACCTGGTGGCTAGCTTTCTCACTCCCCTGCCCTGGTCAGTCTCTTTCTGGTCAAATTTAAAAATAATAATAATAATAAATAAAAGTAAATAAAATTGTTTTTGAAAAAAGGCCCAGCAGATGGCAGTGGTTACATCTTGGACTCTCATATGGTCAACCCTGGTTTGAGCCCCAGAACCAGTGGCTTAAAATTCATGCTGGGCATGTGTGCATGCATGCCCAGGATCCCAAGAGGAGGGACCAGCAAATGACATGATGGTTACATCACTGGACGGTCACATAGTAAACTGCAGTTCAAGTCCCGGGCCAGGCGGCTTAAACTTGCGCTGGGCACATGTGCATGCATGCCCAAGATCCCGAGAAAAGGATGGAGGAGAAGGGATCGTGGCATGGCCATCCCCCCTAGGGGTGATTTCTCACTTTCTGTCTCTGTCTTTGGTGAGCACATGCACCCTAAAGCAAAAATCTCTCTCTCAAAAATAAAAAGGGTTGGGACCAGGAGTTGGCATAATGGCTATGTCGCTGGACTCCCATGTGGCTGACTATGGTTCGAGTCCCGGACCTGGTGGCTTAAACTCACGCCAGGCGCATGAACATGCGTGCCCCAGATCCCAAGAGGAGAATGGAGGAGAAGGGATTGCGGCATGGCCATTCCCCCTGGGGGGGTGATTTCTCACTTTCTGTGCGTCACGTCCATACCCCCTGGAGGGGTGATTTCTCACTTTCTGTCTCTGTCTTTCTGGCGAGCACATGCACCGTTATAGCAAAAAACTCTCCAATAAAAAAAAAGTTAAAAAAAAAACAATAAAAAGACCAGCTATGTCCCCAGTACTGTGAGTTGCAAAATGAACAGGGGCCCCAAAGATCCCAGCGAAGGGGCCAAGGGACGGGCAGGGGGCAGTGGCCTTGGAAGGCTTTTTGACTACTAAAGCCCCCTTCCCTGCACCCAGCTCTTCAGATGGTGGAAGAAGTGAAAGCTGAGCAGAAGAGAGTAAAATCTCAGGGTGAGAGCCTGGGAATGAGAGGGGGGGCCAGGGGTCTGGGGGCCAGGCGTGGGGACCCTCCCTCCACCCGCATGTGTTGTCCCTGAGGTCGGCCCACCCTCCTGTGCCCACAGACTCCAAGTTCTCCCAGTACCTGGACAGACTTCGAGAGGATCTGAACACACTCAAGTCCCAGGGTGAGGCCTGGGGAGGGAATGGGATGGGATGAGCAGGGGGTCTGCACGTCTGTTCCTGAGCACTGCCTACCTCCCCCCTACCCCGTCTGCACCCCCAAGGCTTGAATGAGAGGCGCATGGCCTCGGACGAGCTCAAAAGGCTCCAGGAGGAGGTGGCCAAGCTGCGGATAGAGCTGCAGGTGTCCAACGGTGAGCGTGTGGGTCTCTACGGGGGCGTGACCACTGCATGGGGGGTTAAGTGGGTAGTGGGGCAGAGGACGGGAGGGGGCGCACAAGAATGCCCTTTCTGGGGCCAGCAGATGGCCTAGTGGTTCCATCACTGGATTCCCATGTGGCTGACTGCGGTTCAAGTCCCGGACCCAGTGGCTTGAAACTCATGTCAGGCACATGTGCCCGCGTGCCCAAGATCTTGGGAGAAGGGATTGCAGTGTCACCATCCTCCAGGGTGGGGGGTGATTTCTCACTTTCTCTCCCACTGTCTCTACCTTTCTCTCCAGCGAGGGCATGTGCCCTAAGACAAAAACCTCTAAAAAAGAAAAAAAAAAAAGGTACCAGCAGTTGGCATAATGGCTATGTCGCTGGATTCCCATGTAATCAACTGTGGTTCGAGTCCTGGACCCAGTGTTTTAAACTCATGCCGGGCACGTGTGCGTGCGTGCCCAAGATCCCGAGAGGAGAATGGAGGAGAAGGGATTGCGGCGTGGCCATCCCTCCTGGGGGGGTGATTTCTCACTTTCCATCTCTCCATCTCTTTCTGGTGAGAGCACGTGACCTATAGCAAAAACCTCTCCAAAAAAAAAAAAAAGCCCCTCGGCTTCCAAGTTGCTTCCCTCCACGGATTTGGGGGCTTCTATACTTTTTTCTCCCTGGGAGTCAAAGCGGCCGGATGTCAGCTGTTCTCTGCTCAGAGCAGCGTAGCAGGGCTGTCAGTAGGGTTCCCTCGGTCACAGCCCTAGTGGTAGGCCAGGGCGTCCCAGGGGTAACGTCTGCAGCAGAGCGAAGGCAGGGGACGGCGGCGTCTGCCTGGGGTGGGGGGCAGCCATGGAGAGCCCGTGTCCGGGGACACCAGCCACCAGCGGGCTCCAGAGAGCAAACATCCCCTTCCTTCACGTGGGCGGAACGGAGGCTGACCGCTCTGCCAGCCCCGAGCGAAACCAAGATCAAGACTCTTGATCTTCCGCCTGTGGGAAGCCCCAGCTGCCCCGACCGGACAAAAGAGGAAGGATCTCAGCCTGGCGCGTAGGAGCCCGCCCCTCGGGAAAAACGTGGCTGCGGGAATTCCGGCAAAAAAGCCCTCGGTGGTTCCTCAGAGCGGGGGTCTGGGTCATGCGCACCTCTTATTCGTCTGAGTTCACCCATTTATTTATCCTTGAGCATGAGAGAGGGGTGGGGAGAGAGAGGGGAACGCCAAAAGGGCTCCCCGCAGGCTCAGCCATCCAGCGCCGCACAGCCCAGACGGCAGGAGGCCTCAGAATGTGAACCGGTGATGCTCCCAGGTGGGCTCGGCTCTGCCCCTCACTGTCGCCACTGTGCCACCACCGCTGGCCCTGGGCTTTCTGCTTTTCTTTTCTTTGTCATTTTGCAATAGGGCACATGTGCTCACTGGAGAGAGACAGAGAGACAGAGAGGGAGAGTGGGGATGGCCATGCCGCAATCCCTTCTCCTCCACTCTCCTCTCGGGATCCTGGGCACGCACGCACGCACGGCTGGCATATTTTCCAAGCTCCCGGTTACAGGATTTGAACCATGCAGTTGGCCATGTGGGAACCAGTCGCCTTAAACCCCACACCCCTGGCTGGCCCACCCCCTCTCCCATGCTCTCTTCTGACAGGTTCCTTCCTGTCTCTTACGGTCCCCATAGTGCCTACCCAAGTCTGGCCCCATGGCCTGGGGTCTGACCCCCAGGTCTGGAGCTCTCTGCACGACCCCAGTAAAACAGCTAGGCAGGCCTTCTCCACAGTCTTCTGTTTTTATTATTATTATTACTATTATTTTTTAATTATTGTATTTTATTTATTCGTTCATTTTATTTTAATTTGACCAGAGAGAGACACAGAGAGAGAGAGAAAGAGGGAAAGTGAGAAAGCAAGCCACCGGGTCCGGCACTCGAACCGTGGTCAGCCATGTGAGAGTCTCATGCCCTTAGCCACCACGCCACCTGCTGGCCTTTATACCCGTTTTGTTCATCCCCAGAGGGCATGCATGGTCACAGAGACAGTGAGGCAGAGAGCGGGGAGAGGGAGAAAGCACCCGTGTGTGCGGCGATGGCAGAGTGGTGATGCGTCCGTGGACAGGAGTGGGTTTGGGGTGCTGATGGTGCGGGTCGAGGTGTTTCTGGCTGTGGCGTTGGCGAGGGTGGTGATGACTGAAGCATTATTGCTGCCCAGGAATTTATTTAGAGCACGGTGCCACGGTGGAAGCGCTGTGGCTTTGGAGATATTATATATATTATATATTTATTTAGCACTGGGACTGACAGCTGGGTTGTCACTCTGATCATGAGGCGATGCCCACAGTGACGTTGGCATTAGCTGAGGTGCCACTAAGCAGGTGGTGCTGACAGCGATGGTGCGAGTGGCCGATGTGCTTCTGCCTGGGAGGTGTTTGTGGTTGAGGTGCTACCGGCCACAGAGATGGTGTTGGTGACACCATGGTGACAGTGACACTAAAGTGTCACCAACTATAAAGCCTTGGGGAGGGGGGTCTTCTAAATGTTCATGGGAAATACATATCATGAAGAAACGATGCATGCCTTTCAAAAAGTATTGTGCAGAAATAAACCTGTATTTTAATGCCACGTTGCCACGGATTCTTCCAAAGTGTCTTTGTGCCAACAGCGACGATGCCAGCGGAAGATGCTTCCAGATGTCCTTACGGTGCTGGTCCTGATGGAGGTGTCTGTGGTGCCTCTGGTGACCGAAGTCTTGGTAGATGTGAATGAGTGTGGCCATCGGGGTGGCACCTGGGGTGCCACTGACTGTGGATGTATTTAGGGTGATGGTGCGGGCAGGTGAGGGCCTTCCAGTTGTGGGGAGTCTGTGGAGTGGTTGAGGTGTTGGAGATGGTGTTCGTGATCGACATCTGTGGTGGTGGTGGTTGAGGTGCTGTTAATCCTAGAGGTGTCCATGGCTGAGGGTGGCTGACCCTGGGGGTGTCCGTGGCTGAGGGTGGGCTGACCCTGAGGGTGTCCGTGGCTGAGGTGGAGCTGACCCTGGGGGTGTCTGTGGCTGAGGGTGGGCTGACCCTGGAGGTGTCCGTGGCTGAGGGTGGCCTGACCCCGGAGCTGGCCGT